CATCCACACTCCAGCTGCAACATGACAACTGAGTGAGTTATTCCACCGTACCCGGTCCTGATGGACTGAGACTAACTCTGATGATAGACACTAGTCATAGGACTCAGCTGAATGCACTTCTATCTTCCTAGCAATGGAGGGGCAAGCGCCCTGGCTCCTGAAAGCAAAATTTAGAAAAACGGGAATGGCCAATGGTTGAGAATATTCCTATGACAAAATGCTATAAAAGCCAAAACAGCAACCAAAGAGCTTACAGAAGAGATAAATAGAGTATACTGAAACAAAAGGACAGCTCAAAGTGGCTCCTACAGCTAGAATGGCTGGATAAAAGAGAAGATTGTTCAGCCTGTCTTTCCTCCAAAAATCCGCCATTTTTACCACCACTTTGGGTGCGCGTTAATTAGAATCATTTCGGTGCAAGAGAATAGGTGAAAACATCTATGGTGAAAATGAACTGTAACCGCGATAAAAGCGGATAAAAGCACTGAAAACGAGAGCATGCGAGTGATATGCAACCCCACCTTAAGGCTGTTACTTGATCCGCCCGCAAGTCACACATGGCGTCCAATGGTGATGCTGGTTTCAAGGTCTCAGTGGAATCACTCCATAATACAAGAGTCAAGGAGATCAACTATGATGGAGAAGAAATATATGAAGGGTAACATTCATTTATTGTAATAATCCAGAATTTACCATTTCTTCGCTCATGAATAAATTATTATATTATTTATTTTGTAAATAATGTATTATGGTAGTCTAGTTAGTCATAGCATACAAATGATGACATTGTATGTGTATATGTATTTATTTGTAGGAGACCTTCTCTCTCTCAGAAACTAAGTGAATTAGCTCAACATGTTGACTTTAGAGAAGAGAGAGCTGATGATGATAATGACAGAGAAGAAGGAAAGAAGAAACAAGAAGAGGAGGAGGAAGAGGGAGTTTCTGGTCCTACAACTAAGAAACCAAGTCATCGCTGGCCGTGGGAATTCACACACTCAAAACTCAAGTACATAAATACATGAATTTGTATAAACAAGAGTATAAATCATGTATCAATGTATTGCATACATAAAGGATAGTTAAACTTTATTATTAGTTTTGTGTTTATATCAGGCAAGCATTGACTGAAGTTAGTGTACTGTCTGATGTGTTACAAATTGTTCATAATCATCATCAATACTTGTCACTGGATCCAGTTTATGTTAATAAGAAATACACATTACCTCCTTCATATCAATACCAAATTAAAAAGAAGGTTAGCTTCTCATGATTTGTTACCATGTCCAGCTATTGCAATGGGACTTCCGGTCGCATTAATTTAATGATATTCATTGGAATTACCATAGCAACGGCAGCTCAGCAATGGTGGATTGATAGGAAGCTTCACTACAAAGCCTGCTAATGTCTTTCTGGTTCATGGATGGGACTTCACTAGATACTTGGAGCTTCTTGAATGCTACTTAATGCAATTGGTTATGGTAGTTTTTTCATATTCTATTGTTAAAGTGGCAGGCGTGGCGCAAGAAGACTCATCCACTAACAAAAGGCCTTCTTGTTATTACTTTAAAAGGATCTAGAGACATGATTTGCTTGTATAGCTGTTAAGCACTCTTAGTTTTACTTTATTATTCCCGTGAGAAGAGAAAAGCACTTGTTCACTCTTGTTGTTGCACCCGTTATCACTGAGACGACTAAAATTATTTCACCTTTAGAAGACTAAAGTACCGAACAAAGTTTTGAATTTCTTTATCTTTTTTGCATGATTGGGCAGTAAAAATGTTGTACTTTCACAAAATAAGTGCGCAATTTGTCAAAAATTGTTTGAAATTTAGATATAACCATTCAAAAAGTAAAAAAATTATCATACATACATAAAGGAATGACAAAAATGGCGGCACTGACTGCCTCATCTTTAATCTGCAAATGTTCCACACAAAGTTACTCCAAGTGCTGTCATATTTAGCAGGAACACAGGTATAATTATGGAGAACAGCTACTGAAGTGCGCAAATTGATGAGACTTATTCTGAAGAAAGATATAGCCTAGTAAATGGAAATGTCCATTCCTGCCCTGTATAAAGTCAACCAGTAGTATACGGAGATAATTGCTCAGTATACTAATCCGCGTCCACTCATTGCTGGACATGCTTTACTCAGTTATGCATGCACAATACATGTACCTCAATATAGAAGATTATAAAGGCATAGTATTGGGCATAGTGTGAATGTACTATTCCTTTACCTGTATTGTGTTTAATATAATTAGGTACACAGATCAATAGGAGTTCTTTTAGTGAGCTTTGTCCCTATTAGATTGATAGTTAATGAATATGTATTCATTGTGTATGTACATGTACATTTAATATTATCATGAATTTTTGTGTAGGCACTTGATGTAGCTTCCAAGATATTAAGAAAAGGAGCTGAGCCACTGAAGAGATTATCCAGTCAAACTGATCACAAGTTTTACAGAGCATTATATGATTTAAGAAGAAGATGGATACTACGTAGAACAGCTAATGGAGTGAGTGGAGACCTCAGCTATAGATCAGGTAACTTAATTGTAATGAAGTATAACACACACACAGTATAACAGTAATGGGTACTATAGTATGAAGCAACTTTTAAAATTCGTAATAAATCTAA